CATAAGTTCGTATACAGTTCGCTTGTGCTAAGATAGGTAGCTTGTTTGATAGACAATTCTCGATAGACTCGATCTCGATAGACAGTAAGATAAATTCTCGATAAATCTTCTGAAATTCCTTTTTCGGAAAAACGCTGGTCATATTTTATTGTGGCTTTGCCACGAAAGTGTGGATATTTTTAAGTGATTTGAGCGTATTTGTAGACGTTGAATTTCTGTCTTCTTCCACCTCGCGTATTACAGTCTCGCCGACTATTCTCATCGGTTTGCACATGAAGTCATCAGTCGAAAAAAATTCTAAAATCACAGACACACAACATTAAAGTACTAAAATACCTTGAAGAGCATAATAGAAGTTCTCTCTGAAAGTTTCAACCATTTTTGCTGTTTATTCGTTGAATTATTAACGTTCAAAAATATGTCACGCAATACTGTCAAGCTACTTGAAACACGCCAAATTAACCTCGGAAAGCCTATAAATCTGATCTTAAAACACAGCCTTTTGTAGTTATTTCTTGACCTGTCTAAAACGCATTGAGCCGTGATAATCCCATACATTCTTACCAATTTTGGTTTGCTCGTATTTCTGTTAAAAAGCATTATTTTGGCTCAAACTTTCGCAATAATACTTTCATTTAGATGTTCTATCGAGGACAATAATAATATTTCGCTAATTTGGTCTCTAAATAGCATTTTTAGAATAACACGTGATTATGAGCTTGGGCTACCTGTGGACAATTTGTGACTGATAAGCGACCATAAATAAGAAGCCCGAAATTTAAACTCGGCGGTTGCACAGGAACCCCGAGTAATAATAGCATGTTTTGTGCGTGGATACTTGTGATATTTCAAATTTGTCACAAGTTTCACTCGCTTCGCTCTTGAAATTTTGTTTAACAATTTTGAAATATCACGCGTGGTATTTATCCCAAATACCACTACAAAACATGCTCTTACCTATACTTATCTATCTATCTGGTTTTGAACTCAATAAAAAGGGGGTGGCTAGCAACCCTAATCACCCTCCTAGATCCGCCCTTGTATAACCTTAAAAAGTTTTACCTGTGGCAGGTCCATTATGCCCAGCTTGTAGGCAAACATCGCTCGTGTCAGAAGATTTGTAATTTGCAGAGCCAAAGCTGCTCTATATTTGTCCTTGTGCGTCACTAAATAACGAACCTTGCAACAGATAAAAACAAAAATAAAAACGTAAAGACCTGGGAACGAGCATCATGACGGCTGTGAGAGGAAACTAGTAATTATACTAATAAAGTATCGCTAAAGGAACAGAAACTCGGGATTGAAATAATTTTTATTTTTCATTTTTTGCTGGATTATAGATTCTGGATTTCAAATATTTGAATTTCGGATTCCAGGAAAAGGATTCCGGAGTCCAGGATACTGTTTCTTTCCTGGATTTCGGATTCCGAATTCTCTCACATGAGGAGATATCTCACCTCATCGTGTATACTGATGCAAAATCGTCCATCGATGTTGTACTCGGTAAACAGCCATTTCATACACACCAGCATCAGGTGAAGGTAATCCACGGCAGAGGACTGGACGACCCAGTTCACCCGACTAGTGATAAACTACAGAAAGAATATTGAAAAATAAAAAAAAAGTTTACAGAAAAGTGAGTGACTGACAGACTGACTGAGTGAGTGACAGATTCGTCCCCCTCCGATAACTCTTCGATTGCTTCGCAATCTTAGAGTTACAAATAGTTACTACTTCTTTGATTATGTTTCACAGTGCAAGTGCGTTTGCTCTGATACATATCAAATAGTTAACAAAAGTAATAAACAATTTGAACAAAGCTGACTTTCAACAAGAGGACGTTCGTTGACTAGACATTATAAATGTTTGAAAATAACTGTCAATACCTCGTT